TAACAGTTCTTGTCCCAGGAAGGCCCTCAGGGCCAGATTTTGACCTGAGGCTTAGTTCACTACATCCATAATAGGACAATGTTGTCCTATTATGGCGTCAGCCTCTTTTGTTAGTTAAAAATATGTTCAGAACCGATGGGATGAGTAAAGTAAATATGTTTAAAGTTAGAAAACACTCACCATCTTCTATAAATGATTCAAGTAGAGCAGTGGTCGTGTCCAAACCACCCTCCAATCGCTCCATCTAGCTTGCTTTGACTTTTGTCGTCGGCCACCAAGCACAACAACACCTGCACTTCTGCATTTGACCACGGCTTTGATATTATTGTTTTTGTATAGCTTCAAAATACTAAAAGATACGCTCCTCGAGTTATCGCTAATGGCAGGCGGTAGAGAAAAATGGCGGCTCAGGTTGTTTGGAAAGACTCCACAGACTCCTCCCCCCGACCAGTCAGTGACCGACAGCGTTTCTGACGTCACGGCTCGGCTCGCTTGGACCCCTTGAGAAGCCGGGCCAGAATTTAGGGAGGTGAGCCGGTCCCAAGAACTATGGAAAAGACCTCAAACACAGGTCAAGCTGGAAATATTCGACCCGCGCCGTGACAGTGGAAAAGGGGCATTAGATATGCAGATAGGGTCTTTGTTGACTCACCGTGGGAAAACCTGCTCCTGCGTACGTCCGTACATGGAGGTACGAGTGTACCCCCGCAGGGCATGTCCGCGCAAAGCTCAATTTTTACGTACGCGTATGCGGTGTCGCACAATAAACTGCCCGGCGACAGACTGTTTTGTATGCAACACCAATGTATTAAATGCCCCTTCTTCATCCCTGATTTGGCCTTTTCTTTTGATTTTTTTGTCAAAAGGCAAGCAATCTCTTCCTCCTCCGTTGATGTCATGACTGAAATTGTGAGAAATTAAGGAATTTATCACGAGCAAATTAAACTTAGGTCCAGCGTGGCTGCGGGAGGGTCTGGAGATTTCCTGGTGGGCTGGTCTGATGTGTGGGCTGCAGAGCCAGCACTGCCTGTTTTTTTTATTTTTTAGAACTTTTTATTAACGACATATAATATTACATATTACCTATCTGACCTCCTACACATCTCCATCCCCTCTCGCTCTCTCAGATCCTCCTCTTCACTACACCTCCATGTACCCTCTGCCCGCCTCTCCACCATGGGGAGCAGGGCCTTCACCTGCTCTGCCCCTCATCTCTGGAACTCTCTACCCCCTGACTTAAGAAACACCACCTCTCTTTCTATATTCAAGACTGCTCTGAAAACACATCTCTTTAGACTCGCTTATCCTTAACTCTGCTGTATGTATTTTATATTCTTTACGCATTTTATATTCTGTATGTATTGTATATTCTTTACGCATTTTATATTCTGTATTTATTTTATATTCTTTATGTATTTTATATTCTTTATTCCTGTTGATCATTTTTCTTACTGTAAAGTGTCCTTGGGTGTCAAGAAAGGCGCTTTTTAATTAAAATGATTATTATTATTATTATTATAAACACAGAACACCGCTGTGGCTGAGGCTGCCAGCGCTTGTTTTATTATTTTTTTCCACCTGTCAATCATTCCAGTAGGCGTGTCAGCAAATGACCATTCTGCAACCTCAATTTGTCCTGAAGGTAAATGCTCCTTGTCTGTGGAGCTGCTCTGCAGCCGCTCAGGGTGGACGCTCGAGTATGAAGTCTGAACCCTCTGCGTACAGTATGTCCGTTTTGTACGTGTGGACTTAACGTACGCGGGAGTATACTGGGGGCTTTAAAGCTGCAAGGCTCCGTCTTGTGTTGGGAGAGGAAAAAACTCAGACTGACACGCAGCTCGAATTTTGTTTACACAGAACGATGCATTCAAGAGCATAGGAACTTTTAAATTCAGAAAGAAACAAGCCATAGTCAAACAGAACCAAGCTCAGTGAACAAGCCAACTACACAACAATGTGGGTTTTCTAACAGCTTTGTTAATAAATGTTGAATGTTGAATGTATATACTTCATTAGAATCAGACTTTTTAAAGAGCAAGTCAGCCTTTCATTGTTTGATCTGTATTTGTTATGTTTAAATTTTAAGTGATTCAGCTGTGTTTTCGGTTTTGTTATGCAGGAAAAAAACATTTTATTTTTATGACATTTATTTTGTACAGTTACAGCTTTAAGTTGTGTGACGACTGGGACAAAGCTTTGACTCATAAATATATTTTTGTTACTACTTTATGGAAAGAAAAATACATTGAGATATATATTGTATATCGCCATTTATCTTAAAATATTGAGATATTAATTTTGGTCCATATCGTCCAGCCCTAATACTGTACAAAGGTCACAATGTAAACATGCAGCATGGAAACTTTGCTTCCTGTTTGCATCTCGGCGTTCTCCCTGCTGCTGGTCGTTAAATCTTCAGAGTGCACCCTGCAGCCAGGCAGCTTGACTTTAATACAAGTGTTAAGAGTTCTTGTAGGGCTGTGGGGGTCATGAGATGTTTTACTGTAGAACCCTCTGATCCCAGCTGAACCAGCAGCTGACCCGTTCTCCCATCACTGACAGACGCTGCGACGCTGCTACAGTCGAGTGAAGGAACACGGGATTGGTAAGAGAAAGAGCAGCTACACCATCGAGCAGCTGGAAAAGGTGTTTGGTCAAGGAGGCTGGGACTCCCAGAGCTGTGCCCCAGTGCTGATCAACAGCAGTGGGCTGTACCAGGACATGGAGTCTGACGGCAGCACACTGGAAGACCTGTCCCAGGAGGACTGGTGCAACCAGGTTCTGGATTCAGCCTTCCAGGAGGGAGACATGGAGACTGGTGAGCTGTGTTCAATACCACATGACACTTCAAGTGACACAAAAAGATGCTTTAAACTAATATATGTTTGTCCTCCAGAGGACATTCAAATGCCTACAAACAGAATTGTCCAGATCCAGGCAGAGCTGTCAGAACACACTCAGTAAGTTCTCCTTAAAAATATATATGTTCTGTTTGATAAAAGAAGCATATTTGATATGAGGGAGCCCTCTGGATGGGCGACGAAAGGTTTCTCACTTAAAGAAACTGGTCCAGATGACATGATTTAATCATTTTTGTTCATATTTGATGTGTTTTGCTGTAAATTTTAGCTGGGGCGGCACGGTGGTGCAGTTGGGAGAGCTGTTGCCTCTCAGCAAGAAGGTCACCGGTCTGTGGGTCTTTCTGGGTGGAGTTTCTCGTGTATGCATGGGTTTTCTCCAGGTACTCCAGTTTCCTCCCACAGACCAAAAACATGTATGTTAGGCTGATTGGTAACTCTAAATTGTCTCTAGGTGTGAGTGAGAGAGTGAATGGTTGTTTGTCTCATTTGTCTCTATGTGTCCCTGTGATGGACTGGAGACCTGTCCAGGTGTCCCTGTGATGGACATATGCATGTATGAATGAATTAATGAATGAGATGAGTTGTAGTTTTGTTCATCCTGTGTGTTGTCTTTTAGTTTTTCCACTGGGTGTCAGCACAGTTTATATTTTCTAATAATCCTGAAGCTGCAGGTCCAGTAGAGTCATCACCCTCAGCAGAAAACACTGTATATTAAACACAAATGTAAAAGGACTCTATATTTGATTTTAATTTATGAACTGAAATGTCATTACCACTGCTGCCTAAATAAAATCACTTTTTGATTATTAATTTTTTATTTTATTTTAAACTTTCATTTTAATTTCCAGCTGATTTTAGACCAGCATGTGATCAGATCTTTAGTTTATAACAATTTTATTTACAATATTTTAGTTGAAAGACAAATTTTTAACTTATTCACACGAGTTGAGATAGTCATCCATCCTCTTTACCCGCTTCTTCCTTTTCGAGTCGCAGGGGTCACTGGTGCCCATATCCAGCAGTCACTGTATGAGAGGCGGGAACACCTGGACAGGTCTCCAGTCCATCACAGAGACCCCTGGACAGGTCTCCAGTCCATCACAGAGACCCCTGGACAGGTCTCCAGTCCATCACAGAGACACCTGGACAGGTCTCC